ACCATTTTTTTGTATAAGTAACCCAACCTTCATTCCATTTTGAAAGTAATGTTTTGGAATTCACCATGGTTTTTCAATCACAGTTGCAAAGCTCAAGAAGTACTGTATGTTTTTCTTAAACAAATAAGATTTTGTTGAGAGAGATTTGTGTTACGCAGTGTTTTAGTTTATTGATAAATAATTTGTTGTTGCTTATTAAAAAGGTCGGTCAATTCTAAAAACGTATCCAATCGTGTCGAGTGCGTTGACATATACGTATCTGAGGACATACTAAAATACTATGTCGTACTATCCCTGAGTTAAATATCGTTCAATATGTGTTGGATTTGTTCTAATGAGATACGTGGCACTATGGGTGTAGTACACATAAATGTCCATGCTTAATTATCCTGCGCCTGGAACATAACCGAATCGAGTGCACTTTATTTTTTAGCAACACAAAATAAAGATGATGTTTAAGTCAGTGAACATGAAATTTTTAAATAAAAGATAATAAATATAAGAAGATGTGGTATGCGTGCCAATGTGACAACTATCCATCCAAGTCACAATTTGTAAAAGTAAACCATTATATGTAAAAGAAACATCGCTGTCTTATAAAGGAAAATTAACAATATGGAATGTGAATCGTCTCTTTTCTCGTAAATTTTAATATGGAAAAGGACAACTACTGCTGTTTATATTATGTTAGATTTATCTAAAGTAAGTTTTTTTGGTAATTGTCGGTAGTAAATTTAGAGAACTCTGGATTATTTAACGAAAAAAAATAATCAAAATAGGTAGGTATTGTTGAATGTATCAACTAAATGTAACAATGACGTGTCTGTACTGAGTTAAGTCATAAACTGAGATTCATAACAATACAGGAATAAAGTTGTTATTAAAGGTGCACATTCAGTACCCATAGGAATACCTACTGCTTGTCGATACACTTTATTGCCGGAACGTACATATATGTTGCCCAGGAGAAATTTTAAAGCTTCAATCATATCTTCACATTTCCAGTAATGCATGATTAAGAAATGAAGCAAACTTAGCTCCTCATCGAAAACGGTAAAACTTTTAAACAGGCATGTAATAACCAAAAATAAAAGGGAAGACAAGCGTGACAAGCCGTTGAAAGGGTGATTCATTTGCCCAATATCAAGCCCATAATGTCAAAACAAATATACTTTCAATTAATGAATCAAAGTATGAAAAAGTAAAATAGAACGATTTTAAACGTAGCGTTCTGGCAATCATCATGTTCATCAGATGTCTTTTTTTCTTTTTTGGATTTGGTAATTTTTACTGTCCTCTACCCATTTCCCTATATCTGTTGTTTTTTGCAAAAGACTACGTTTAACTTAGCTAATGCTATATGTATTGGTTTTCTTGTTTCGCTTGTTACTTTTTCTGGACCCTTTTAAGATGCTGTTTACTAAACTGTATCGATTTTCCTCATTGTCCATGCCGTTTGTTGACACATTTTTGCTTACTTCCATTTAGTCTCTTGTGAATAGTTTTCTGGTTGGTAATCAAACCACATCGTCATATTTAGAGCTCTTTACGGATAGTTTGTTTATGTGTTGCTACTGCAAATATATAGGCACTTCCTGTGATATTTTTTTTTTTATTTTTGAAAATATATTACATATAATACAGAATGAATTCATTAATATTATGTTTAATACAAATATTTTGTTAATTCGTTCAGATGATTTGGTTTATGACCAAAGACAGGAATAAACAAATAAACCTATTAATTCCCAGCAACTGCGGCGACAAAAAAAAGGGTCCGTACGTTGGTTCATCAGGGAATAAGTTTGAAAATAGGATCTAGCAGAACCGTGAATTGCCTAAGTGGCCAAATTTTTCACCCGGCGATCAGAACAAAAATGAAATATTTTCTTTGCGGAAATCATTCAATTTGTTATCCTTTGCGAGTTTCGTTTTATAATTTTTGACAAGATTTAAATGTAACTGAGCCTTCCCGAAAACGATGTCTTCAGTTAATTCATTCACTCATTGCCGACAGTTTAAAATTAAGGTATAGACTTGTATGACAAAATAGTGACATAGGTGGAAAACAAATATATCAAGTGTTTTATTAAAAACATTAAGTAAGAATCAATTTACAAAAAATTAAAACTTAGAGTCAAAAGTGCACTCAAAACTGACATGTAATAGTGCAAATGAAGGTAATTATATATGATGTTGATACTCTTTTGTCATGTTTGTATTAGGAATGAATTTAAATATAGGAACTAACAGAAATAAACTATGAAAATTAATGATTTTTCAAATTTTAGTTAAGACATAATCATCTATTCAAAACACAATATACCAGTATAATTATCCTGAAATGTCAATATACAAATTAAGTCCGAAGATGTCTACCATAGAGACCCCAGCTACCATACCAATACGAACAATACATGAGGTACTTCCCCAATCTTTCAATATGATAATCATGTTAATATTAAATTATACTTTTGTATTTTTGGATTATATTAACAACAAATAATCAAGTTTGTTAATACATTCATTATGCTCCAATTTGAGTTAAAATAGATAAATGGGACACCTAAATTAACATAAAATTCAACTCTCATGAATATCCCACTGCTGCACATCCTCCAGAGACACAAAGTCGTTATTGTCTTCACGAACAGATAAAGACTCTTCATCAGAAGAAATCAATGGATCTGCTGTTAAAGACAAGTCTATGTCAGCATACGGTGTCCTGTTTTCAGCTCCATGAATGTGAAATTTACTTTTAGCTTCAACAGGGTCAAAGATAACTTCAACGTAATTAAGAGTTGATGAATCCTGAAAAAAAATGTTAAACATAATCGTTTCTATTATCACTCTCTTGCATAGCTGCCTCTTATTTGTTCATTTTGTCGTAATTTTATTCATGTGTGCCAATCTGAAAGCATTTGTTGCATATAAATCCATTCAGTATTTTAGATATTTTTATTAATTAAGATGAGATGAAGGTCAATATGAAACTTCCTGGACAAGAGAATAAAACTTAACAGAAGCAATCTGTTTTGAAGTCGTAAGTAGATCTGTCAACGGATATAACTACATACTTCAAGTTTGAAAGTAAAAAGCTTGTACACAGTTGCAAACTTTGCTTTGTAGAAAACTGATAGAAACTATAGGTATTGTGAGTAAAACTTAAACTATGCTTTGGTTGAGGAATTTATTCTGTTTTACATTTAATGTTTTTTATATGTATTCATAAACTTTTCGGAACAAATCAGAATGGACCGATTTCTTACAACACCGCTTAAATTGTACGACCTGACTGCCTTTATCTTCTGTCTATTCTGTCAGTTGTTTTAAACATGTTATATGAATGACATATTTGAACTGTTATAATTGCATCTGTTCAGCTCTGTTCCTTTGTATAAGTTATTTATTAAATGCGTACGAACTGTTAGTTATTTATAGCTAAGATTTAAACCATAAATTCTATTTTCGTTTATTGTTAATTGATTTATACATGTGTTATATTTGCATTTTAAATTTAATATGTTCTATTGATATACATTGTAATAATTTGACTTATTTTATTGCAGTTTAGTAGTACAGCGACTACTGTGATCATGCTGGTGGAATTTTATAATTACAATTTTTAAAACAAGTTGTATGGTTAATATATTTGCCGAAATTGAGATTGTCAAAAGTTTGGTCATACTGTCTGGTCCGGCCAATACAGAATTAAAAAAAATAAGCTTAAAACAAATTATGAGTTCCCTTTGGCATAATAGAGTGAATATTCAAGGAAATTTCAGTTGATTTTGGGGAGAAAAATATCCGTACTGTGATGTGAACATCATTTCCATGAATCAACCCCAAAAATGATTCGGATCAAATGGTGTTTAAATATGTGCAAAACAACTTCATGTGGTAAATATTTTGAGAATGTTTTGATAAATTTAAATAAGGGGTTAGAAAGGAGTTGCGGACACAAAATGTGTAACCAAAAATGTATACTAGTGTGCAGATATGACAAAGAGCATAGCTTCTGGTTACATAATATTTGGCAATATCTATAGGCTTAAACCGGATATTATGTTCTGGATGAAAGAATGGTAAGTTTTGCTTTACATTAGACGTCTTAGTCTTCAGACGTGATATGAGTATTAGGGAACGACTGAGCAATAACGTTGATATAGGTAAGCACAGGTAAGTACAGTTACACAGTTAAACAGATTATATAGATGATAGTCTCTCACTAAATAGTTCAAAATTTGATGACTATATGAAATGCATCTTTCCCATCGGAACTTGTTAAGGATACAACAGATACAGTTAAGTCTGCCTCGTACAATTTGGATCGGTTTAACACAAAACTTTTCGACAAAAAAGATGATTTCAGCTTCCAAATTGTGATCTCTCCATTTCTCTTTAGCAATATTCCATCAGCGCTTGCATACGGGATTTGAGGTACGATATTCCAGGGCTGGTATTTCTTTTGATAATTTCCTTGATAAAGGATTGTTTGTCACAAAGAAGCTATCAAACCAAGAGTTCCAAGTGGTGAAGTTAAAATAATCCCTCCGTAAATTTTACGGACGCCATCATGTGTTAGTTGATCATTATGGAATATCCGTTCCACAGATGATAGCAGATATGTTCGAAATGTCGTTACTACAATCCCGTCTCTATTTCTCCGAATGTTACCTTCCGAATAAGACAAGTTTTTGGTGGGGTTCGTGTTACTCAATCATCAGTTTTCTATGTTCACCTTGTGTGTTATGTACTGTTGGTCTTTCTCATTTTTGGCCTAGCGTTTTCAGTTTACTTTCGACTTGTGAATTTTGATGGCCCTTTGTTATCTCTTGCCTATCTTATCAAAAGAAGTATTTGTTATTGTTGTATAAAAATATCATTACTATGATAGCAGAGACTGACGATTCCGTATTTTTTAATAGCCAATTATCCCGTTAGGGCACGTATTGTCAGAGTACTGTCCAAAATCAAACATAAAAAAATATTGTTCTTACGTAACAGATATTATTTTCTTCTCTTTTATTCAAGTCTGCACAGTCTGAAATATGTGAGTTAATAAACAAAATGATCAATATAAAAGCTATGACTCTTTAAAGTATACAATCGTTTTACAGATTTAAGTTTTCGTGTATCAGATTAGAAGATATTCGACCCTAATTCTGATCTAATTATGTTTTTCAAGAGTTTACAATTATGTGGTCTGACAATGGAGCGTAATTTGTCTTTCAGACTGGTCATTAGTCGGAATATTTTTGAAACTCATTATTAGATAGTGCATATAGACTGTAGTTTTCTGTATATATGTCACATACGTGATGATTTGTGTTAAAATGATTATTCAGATTTTGCAATTTGTAATGTCATATGATAGCTTATACTTAAGTAATTTTATATATGGTGAATGATTTTTTTATTCCGATTGTAATCGAGAGTTTAATTACGATTTTATACTTATTATTAAACCTACCAAACGGCCGCCTGCTGTCTTCTGTTCCAACAATTTTATAACCTACTATTTGTCTTTTCACATTTGTTTTGATTTTATCAATGGAACGATTGGCTGTCTCCAAAATACCAGAAGCTGTTGATGGTTCAGTTAGATCACTTGCAGACTGGTATAAGCTATTCTCGATAGCAGCACCTTTCAAAATAAAAAGTTCAGTTCAATTATTTTGATAACACTTTCTTATATTTGAATTTCATATTATATCTAAATATATATAATACTTAATTCCATTCTCAATTTTATTTAAACCCACACGTTTTATTATTCTAAAGGATATTTATGCAATGTTACAAGCGTCGTATTGGTCATAGAAGACATAACTGACATGACACAAATCTAAAGCCCGTGTTTCAATCCTTCTTTTAAAAAAGACATTTTCAAAACCGTTGCGGTCGTCAGCGCACGCATGTGTAAGTGTGTATCCTTATTCCTATGAAAACGTGTTAAACGTTTAAAGAATTCCTGCTTAATCAATAATGTGTGTGGCGTTGGAGTAGATTGAAAAGTGTGTTTGTGTTCAAGGGGGATACGTCTTAAAATACGGACAAGCAAACCAAAATAAATTTCTATGGTTCAGTAGTTTAGAAAGTATTCAATATCTTCATTCATTGATATTGTAAATTTATGTGACTCGTAGTAATCTTAGATATATGTTGATCGTAGTTACTTAATCTTGTAAAAGTCCACCCAATAAATAAGTCTGTTGACACTGTAAAGACTCGTATGTTTAATGCTATGAATGAAGATTTCAGTATAAACTAATGTACATGCAATATACATTTCCGTACCTTGATTAGAATGTTCAACTATTTGCGATCTACAATTGAATGTTAAATGTTAGCGCACATTTATTTCAGAATCAATTTAAGATAAAAGTTAAAAAAAAATGCAATAGTAATTTCACTGAACAATCAGTTGAGATGTTTAAAAGTTTTTACAATACTGCGTATTGTTTAGATTCGTACGTTAAAACTTAATGTTCATCTCATTTACGAATAAAACATCAATCAATCAATCATAGGCGAAAAAGCGAAGAAGTGCATTCACTACGATGTCATCAAAGAATTTGTTTTAAAATTGAGAAGCTTTTAGTTAAAACAATTACAAAATTATAAAATTTCAGTAAAGCCCTGATTGCACCATGTCTTTTTGTCAATTTGTTAAAGATGTTGTTAATAATTAAGTTATTTTATGCGTTTGAATATTGTATACAAATAAAAGCACATAATAATTACTGTCTTTGTGTTATAACAGATACTTGTAAATTCCAAGCTATGCTTTACCTAAAAACATAAGACATTCAAGAAAAATAGTGTAAAGTAATCTAAGGAAACTGTAATTTGAAATAATATCATACAAGCTGGAAAGCATTTTTTTGTCTGGAGACTTCGTACGATTTTGAACTGCCTCAGACAATGCTTGTTAGTTGACCTTTGATATCAGTTTCATTGAAGCTCTTCAAGTATTGATAAACCATGGCTTTCGAGTTTTTTGGTTTGAACGTTAATGTTTATTACATACATCTCCAGAGGCGCTTAGGAAAAACCAAGTTAAGTTAGGGCTTTTTATATTATATTACTCGGAGAGCGTCGAAACCGATGCTGATGGACTACTATTTCCAAGAGAATCGTCAGCTCATGTAGTCAGTCGGTGCTTCGATACTGCATGATTTACCGTTCTTCAAATCTCCAATGAAAAAAGTACAGTATATGTATGACTATAATCCAACTCACCCAGGAAAAGTTCACTTCATTTGAATTGGCGATCTGTTTTCGGTTTCTTTCGTTCATATAGCCGTCCAAGTATTTACACATCATTTTTTCGTGATGTAGATCAATCTAGATAAGCGCATTCGATGCACATAATCTATGAAGGGCCATTGAAATACCATATGCCCAGATCCTGAACCCAATTAAATCAAATCAAATGAGTGCATGACGACAAAAACCAAAGAGGTTCGCAATATTTAAGATGCTCAATCGACTGCTGACACAGACAGAAAACTATCGTTAGCGGGAAGGAGTAAATGAGGAGGAATGACAAAAATCTTCAGAAATCAAAACAGAACGAAATACACAAAAGATTGAAAATATTTCATTGATAAAAATAAGAAAAAGCTCAATCAAAACACTGAAGCAACAATCTACAGAAATATTTAACAATCAATAGTTTGCATTTCTGAGCTTCATAATGACAACTGTCGAAAAGTCTTAAACAATGAAAGGTCGGTCCTCTATTGTACAGCGAGAAAATCTTGTTGACATTAGTGGCCTCATATGGTGTATGATTGTCTAATAAGGTGCAATTACAATTACAGACCGGGTGTCCCGCAATGCTTTGAGGAATCTGACATCACTCTAATTGCTGTTCCAGTAGTTATTACATCATCCAATAAAATTTAGGCCTTCACATTTTTAAAGTATCATTACTAAATTACAAGGGGATCTCGCAAGGTCTTTAAAACAGAAAGTTGAACGGTGTCTTTTCACACCCCTGTACAAAATGCGTGGATAAAGGTCAGTATTGAAATCAGATCTAAGTGCAAAATTGAATATCGCTTGCAGGAAATACATCAAATAAAAATAGAGTATGATGAAACGACTTCTTTGATAAGGTACTGATATAGTTTATTCATCTGGCAAGGACAAGAGTGTCGCGATTGGTTTTACTTTGAGTAGTAGAAAAACACTTTAATAATTATATAATACTCATGAAAATAGAATAAAATAAATGATTATTGTCGATTCAGGTTAGAAAACAACCTTTTCAACACTAGATAATTTCAGAATTTACAAGAACCATGTATTTTTGAATATTAAGAAGATCTGGAGTGCCATTTAGACAACTAGCCGTCCAAGTCACAATGTATAAACAGTTATCAATTATAGGTCTTCAACACGGAGCCTTAGAGCACACCGGAAAGCAAGCTATTAAGGGCACTAAAAGACACTCAAACATTTGTATTTCCTACATTGTCTTAACAAATGATTTCGACACCAAGTTTAATCAACATTTCAACCTAAGTGTTTGAGTTTTTGATTGCGTGTAAGAAGATATTAACAGGACGACAAAACTCTATTTAACTTGAACCTAAAACAAAGTGAGACTTTCAAAGAATTTGCCACTGCCGCTACTCAACATAAATGAGTATATCGGTCCTAATTGTACCCGTATAGAATCGTCCTGATTCTTACATTATCTGCTTGTCAAAGCATGTGTCGACATTAGAAGTACATTTCAAGAATAAGTCACGATGTAAAATAAACACCATGAACATTTAAGATTTAATAAGATGCTAGAGATGTTGTGCTCAGTAGCAAAGAAACCAGACATTAATTTTGTTATAAAGTAGCTAGGAATCTTTATATTTCGATATACCTATGAGATACATTTTTCTTAGCTGAAAAATAAATAATAATAGGTTAAGCTTTGTAAATAAAAATACACTTTCATATAATAAAACTACTTTTATTCAACCATTTCTATCACACATGCACGATCAAACGTTTCTAAACTTAAAAAGTACTAGAACACACCCGTAAAATCGCGGGCCTCTAGAGCGTGGTTGACAAGTGTAAAATGTGAATGGATGAATTTTTGTAAAATATTTTATGACTGGAGAAACCCGGGAAAGGTACAAAAAGTACATTGTATCTGAAACATTACCTGATGTCAATATAACATTTTGAATTTTTCACCAGTTCAAAATATTGGATATAAATCTAAAGAATGTCAACGCAAAGGTCAACTATTTGTAGTAACATAAACGCATAATGTTTTGGAGGCTAGTTGCTTTGTCACCATGCATTTTGTTTCGTTCGTCGAGGACAGAGTAATCGATATGTTAAATTTTTCAATTTTAGTCCTTCTATACGGATTCTACTATATTCTGCTAATGAAATCAGATAATTATATGATATTTGCAAATAAGATTCAAATTATAAAATACTTTATACACATTGCGATAAGGGCATGAAATTGTAATATTTTATTGAATTCTGGAAATGGCGTAAGTCTTTAAATGGTGTTGATTTTTCAGAATGCAAATTAATTCTAAAATTGGGTGCTTATTACGTCATATGGATAAAGACTTAATAAAATGCTCAATTAACCATAACCACTATAACTCGACGACGTCACAATACAATGTGTGCATAAAGAATGCCATATTTTACTGAAATGGCGTCAGAGTTTTCAGTGGGAAACTTTACCATATAAGAATCAATATAATTTATGCATTTCATTTGTTTTCATTTTCACATGTCCTGGGTCTTTATATTCCTTTATTATATCCTCTGCTTTTGATCTGAAAAAATTCCAATAAAACGACCCAGGAAATAAGCAGAATTCAGGATGTGCGTGTTTGTCAAAGTAAGAGAATCATGCATATTAACGTAATTTACAAGTACAATTATGTAATACTACATTAGCTGTAAATCAAAATATTTAGCTGATTAAACAAGATATACCTTTTCGACGTCGCCAACATATAAATATTGAGCAAATTGTTAAAACAGTTGTCACTAATATAACTATTGTGTACCCTATCCAGAAACTCTTTTTCTCGTCTAAAATATAAAAAAAAAAAACACTTAGATATTTATCTAATATTATACAAAAATACGTTTGTATATTCTTTATTTCCATATACACGAGACATGAACAGTTCAGCAACAAAACACTAGCGCTCTTATATAAGTAAACCTAGAGGGAAAAGATGTGGCAACAATACCAAATTCATACGATACCAGACATTTGAAGGTGGTAAATACATGTAGTCAGCACTGGATTTATCGTCCGGCAGTTAACCCTTTGCTAAAATGAAGCACTTGGTGAGCAGTGTGTGACGTGTAAACAGGAGACCAGCCCCTAACAGAGTGGGCACATCAAACGAATGTTTGATAAAGGGAAATGTCAAAGATCTCAGTGTTGTTCGTTGGTTGCCATGCAACATGTCTGTCCCTTTCAAATGTGCACTTATTTTTCACGAACAGTCCGAATCCATCCCGGTCGATCTACCTTCCTGAATTCTAATTGTATAAATTTTCTCCTGACTCTGTATGTAATGTTTTCCATTAGTCGTTAAACAACAAAACATCAATTGATAGTATTCATTGGAGGAAAACAAAATTCAAAATTAACCGACCCAATCCTGACTGGATACATACAATCAAGTGAAGATAATGAGAAATTTCCTTTTTTTCAAATCAATTGAATAACATAAGAAGCACACAAGAACAACGATTGGTAAGGAAAACCAGCAACAATACATGGACATCAATAATATGAAAGTACAATAAATTCCGTTTTTCATCAATTTATGATGTATTTGCCGTTATTTCATGATATCAGGGTAAAATTGAAAGACTTTAAGCATGAAGTTTAGAAGAAGCAATCTTAATAAAGTAAAGACCATATAAAAATACAAAGAATAAATCTATCTTGAAAGTATATTTTATCTTCAAAACTAATAAAAATGTGATGAATCAAACAACTAATTTTAATAATGTCGATGCTTTGTTTGTATACGCCATGCGACGACTAAAACTTATTTAAGTACCAAGTCTTGAATATGACAGTGGTTTGCCATTCGTTTGATATATTTTAATTTTTGATTTTGACATTTGATAAGGGAATTTCCGATTCGAATTTTCCTTGGAGTTCGTTTTTTTTTAAAACTTTTTACATAGAAGCAATGAATAAGATTTTTTTTCATATTTTTTGTTTTGAAAAAAAATGTTTTGATAAAATATAAATAAAGTTATAAATTTAAATTTGCCAGATGCAGTAACACTTCTTGTAGTAGTTTTATACTTCTGGATATAGAATAAAATTTATATTTGCTTCTATTTTTCTGTCGTCATATATTTTATGTAAAAAAAAAACCAACTGTTAAATATGTTTTGCATAAGTCTCAACGATATTGTAAAAATGAAATGACTGTAACAAATTAATTGTAATAGTCTGATTTAT